GGCCCAAACGAAGTGTCGTTTGGGCCTACCCGATGGGTGATAGTCCAAAATCAGGCCTTTAGGGCCTGTAACCCCAAAGGTGGGGCCTTTAGGCCCTGGTGTGTCCCTCCGGCCCTAAGCCGGGTCCGGTAGGACCCGAGTGAGTCGAAGATGTAACATGCCCTAAGTGAAGGCAGGCTCGACGAGGCCCTCAGGGCCCTATTCTGGCCACCACGCAACTCAGGGAAATTCAGGCAGTTGTGCAGCGCCAGTTGGTTGAGTGAACCCAAGGCCCGGGCCGCCTGTGTGAATGTATGTGAAGCAGGCCCTGGGCTGGATGCGGGTACTGGGCCAAACACAGGCCAAAGGCAGTTGGGCACATGCAACCACCTCAGGCCCAAGGCCTGTTCTCATCGTGATGGGCCTCAGGCTACCGGGGGCTACTGGAAGCTTCCTGGGACTGGACGCAGGTAGGCCACTTCGATCTGGGTACAGATCGATCGCTAGTCCATGGCATTCGGCTGATAGATGATGTTTCGATTTTCATCAAATTTAGAAAAGGAAATCTGGATAGTGAGAAGAGGGCTTGGCGCTTGATGGGAATGTTTGAGCGGTCGTATGATGCCAACCTCTCCTTGGAATGTACTAGCAGGGCTGAACATTGGGAATTTCTGGGCTGTGTGCTAAAAAACTTTGGCATGCCGTTGGGCGTTCGGAGTGCGGCTACTCATAAGAATCAGAATGTGGTTATGAGCGGTGGGATTTGCTTCCAGAACTTGCACGACGCCTGTTCTTATGCCAGTAAACAGCAGAAGATGGCGGTGATTGGTTCCTTTCTGCACAGGGCCTGAAGATACACGAACATGGATGGCGCGGAAGGGGCATTTTTGTTTTGTCTCAAGGTGGAGTTGAGACTACGTGGTTTTTCTGATGACTCTTTCGATAACTCCCTAAAGAATTTCTCAGCGAAGTTTGGGGGATTATGGGCTGAATGGGTGAGTTGTCTAACTGACTGGTAACTATTGACGAACGCGATTGTATGAGCAGGGGCATATTGGACTTGGGCAATGTTTTCTTTATGAGTTTTGGCCTGCCCGGGTGGAGGGCACTTGGGCCTGGTACTGTCTAGGTCTTGGATACTAGTTTGGGCTTGCTTGGGCGTGGCAGGTCTTCCATACCAGGCCTCGTTTTTGGTCTGATACTGACTGGGCTCGTCTTTTGAATCTTCGGGTTGTGCTCGGGTCTTCTAGAAGATACTGGCCTGTTGACTTGTTTAGCCTAGACCAGTGGTCGACCTTAGTGTAGGGTCTGTTCGTAGGTCCTATATATTGGCTCACGGCGTTTTGATCTTTCCTCCGCCGTGACAGTTGACCCCTGACGATTCCGGCTCTGGCGGTCGGATGAAACATGTAAGGTCGCCACCAGAAGCTCAGACATGCTTCATACGATTACGGGCATGACGCCCACTTTCGGATCGAGTTTGAGCTTGCTTTGTACGTTGAATTTTTTTGAAGCCAGTCGCGTTCGAGAGAAATCATTCGTCGTGTGCCGTACATGTCGTCTTCGTCTTGTGTCTTGTCGGTCGGGTCGTGTGTTTGATTGTGATGATTGTCCTTTGCATGATTGCCACTTGATGGTCTCGTGATTTGGAGCTGTATGCTGTCCCTGTCAGTATTGTGTGCGTGATTCATCACCACTTCGATATAGCAAAGGGCCTGCCTCCGCATTTCTCATTTGGGTGCTGGCTGCATGCTGCGCAAGCGCTGCTGCGCCATTTGCTGGCTGGCGCCTACGCTCTCACGGGCGAGCAGGGAAGGAGCACGCAGCCATAGCCCAGCTGCGCTGCTGTAAGCTGGGTGAGGCGCAGGGTGGTCCTTGGGTGCTAGTGGCATCTGTGTGTTGGGGAACGAGGTTGTGAGTGTGGCGAGAGACATACCTGGTGCTGGAAGCGTGCGACACTGGTCGCTGTATGCTTGTACTTGGGGAAAGCTGTTGACGTGATCTTTCGGCTTCGTAGTGTAGGCTAGATAGGATCTGCCACATGTAGTCTGGGCGTCGAGCGCCAGTGAGGATATCAACTCTGGTTCTTCGTTGATGATGATGGGACTATTTCAGCATTGTCAATTATGAACTCTTGGTGTGTTCTTATTTGGTGAATCTCGTGATGCAATTCTGCTGTTGGTTCGAGGTCACGACTATCTGGACTCATATGTATGATGTTGTTTGATTGCTGAAGTTCGCTATTGCTCATCTTCCTTGCAATTTGGTATCGGAGCTGTGGTACGTTTGCGCTCATCTGGCGCTAGTCTCCTACCTGGTACGGTACATACATGCGGTCTGCTTGGCGAATTTGGTCGTAAGTGGTGTGTAGTGAGGAGGGTGGAGACGAGTGTATAGGCGACCCAGGAGGTGAGGGGATCGCCAGGAAGGCTAAGTGGGGATAATATGGTCTGGACAGTGTGATGAGAACTATCTAATGTGCGATTGATGCTGAGGTGGAACGGCGAGATAATGCTGGTTATGCCGATGCAGTGACTGGTCATCGCAATCGCCATCAGGTCATCTGGTGAGATTATCTCTGTGGTTGGGGGCAGCTATTTGAGGTACGTTGCTCTTAACCTTATCTACCCTCTCCGACACTTCTAACCGTGAGGTTGTGTGTTCCTTCTTGAGAGTCCTCTCATTGTGAGGTGTCGAGTGCGCTCAACCTTGAGAGTCGGCAATGATCACGTGGAGCATCTGGGAGAAGATGGGCGGAGCTTTCTGAAGGGCCCTGGACGAAGCACTGGGTCACGCTCACCAGGCCAACCCACCGGGAGTAGAGCACACATGCTTTGCTGCTTGTCCTTTGCTGCGCTGTTAGATGGGTACTGAAGGGCAGGCCAGCCCTTAAGGGAGACGAGACCGCGCGTCTTTAACCATTGGCTGTGATCGTCGTCCGGCTGCAACGTAAAATAATTCCTGGTGTCGCTTGGGGGCGGATGTTAAATTGCCTCTGGATCAGCCAATGGATAATCCAGTGCAGGGCTGGCCAGCTCAGCAGATACTCGGGGCACAGGGGTGGGCCGGACACACACCTTTAGACACGCGACGCTCTCCAGATTGCTCAGGGACGCTGACGTCAAGTGATACTCAGGGGAATGAAAGGAGGGGTAAATTCCAGGTGATAAGTTCGAGAAAATTCCATGCTGTCCTATCCACATAAATGATTCTATTTTTATGTTTTGATTAGTTAGGTGTACAGCCATTGACATCTGACAGACAGCATTAGTTAGAACAGTTTCTTGTTCATGGTGCTTCTGTTTGCGGACTAGTCAAACTAAAAATAGTTTTATTTGTAGGAATCTGACTTAAATGTTGACCCGAATGTGAAGTCTCCGAAATAGCCACCAATTAATTGGTCTGTGCACTACGC